TCCGAAAGGACCTCCCAGGTGCGCCTCACTCGAAGTCAACCCGCCTACTGTAGCATTCATATCTCCTGCTAAAATCATGATATCAGCCCGGGTCGCTTTACGCAAGAGGTCGTGTAGATCGTGGTTAAAATTCATCTTTGACTACATCTGGGCTGCAGTCTGTTAGAGCGTACACCGAAACGACAAATAAGTTTCGTCTATCGTGGAGACGTCTGCTCATCTAACTCGAACCTCTGAGTCTCACTGCGCACAACCTACTGTCTGCTGTCCAGGAGGGCGGCCTCAGCTCTCTCACTGAGACCTACGCCAATGACAGTAAGACCGAAAGCCGCAGCCTCAAGGTCCCCAGAGAGGCGTGAGTGAAACTTCACAGGTTGTTTATATGTGGACGTCAATCGGATAATGGAGCTAGAGTCTTGAATGCGAGTTTCTTGGATGCAACACACATCGACTGCTAGGGTTTCGAACGTACGACCTTAACGCGCCTATTGTCCTATACGCATCAGATTACGCACAGTAGACCTGACTAGTTTGAAAGGACGTCAAGGGCGATGAAGGGCTTCAGCTGGTAGACGATTCAGTGAGACTTGGATAGCAATCGAGGTAGGACAAGAGCGAACAGCGGCAGAATTTCCGCCCGAGGCACTACTGTTAGTACGATCGTCTGAAGTATCCGAGAGAGATGGAATAGAGGTGAGGTGGGGGAGGCTGAGAGAACAAAAGGGTGTGTACTGTGTAGAAAGTCTTTCAATTGTTGAAGGTTTAGACTGCGAAATCATCGAAGTGAGAACGTTCATAGTTGTCTGCGTTGTGGGCTATTGTACTACTCGGTCGCTCAGGCCAGAGTAGGCCTTGTTCGAGGATTCACTGTAGCCTTTACGCAACCAAGCGTGGACTACAAGGCAGCAGTGATGTTCCAGATGAGCCGGTGGCCAGCTTTTGGTTCATTCGCCTCTTCTGGAAAACCTTGTTGGGTAAAGGAACTCGACAAGGGGCTGTGGCCATATTTAGTGGCAGGCCACACTCGCTATGTCACAGCGCTGTCCACAGATATTGGTGGCGTTTTCTGCGGAGAACCCTTATCAGGAGTTGAACCCATCACATCTTCGAGCGCTGCCGGTGATCGTCTGCGACCGCTTATTCGGCAGGCCGAAAACCACCTTATTCACGGTTAGCTACAAGATGACGGCCAGTCTCCTAACCGCGATCTGGAGACGCGTTCGGTCGCATACAGCTCTGCTCAACCGAGTCTGATAAACCGGTTTGCTGCATTGTACGGTAA